TTGCTCGGAGAGTTGGCATCCGTCCTTGCTGACACGGAGGCCTGCGAGAAGTGGTTCCGGGCTATGGGTGCTTCAAATTGGAGGCTGACAATGCAGCAGGGGCTTCTGTCAGCAGAAGGATAGAACATGCTCCTGAAATCCAGAATATGAGCGGGTTTCAGGACCGTCATAGCCAGCAATCGAGTCTTGCTGCTGACACCCACGGAGCCAAGCCAACATCCCTGCACTCTCGGAGGTATCGTCTCACACTTGCGGTCTTGGGTTTGGCGTTGCGGGTTGGGGTGCGGTAAAGGGTCGGGGGTGAGTCCGAGTGCGAACGCCGAAACCCCAAAAGGGCGCCAATTGCCAGGTGGACGAAATCCTGAAATGCTGTATACATGATGCAGTATGGTATGCGTATTCAACTCCTTTGGATGCCCATTAATGTAAGAGTGCCTAACCCCTAAACTTCCTAAACCCTAAACCTCTTAATCCCAAGCCTTATGAACCTCCGACGCCCAGGCCTTCCAAGGCTTCGTCACCGAAGAAGGCTGCAAGTCTGAGCTCGTAAAGCGCCTCGGCGATTCTCATATGCGTTTGCATCAGGTCGTGGCCAGCGTAGTTTATTTTGTATTATTGTTATTTGTATCATAGATATTACTTTAGTGGACGGGGGCTACTGTACCTAAGCGAGATCTGTGCCAAAAGAGCCCATTTGTTTCATTGTTTCATGCTGACTAAACCCCCCTGCGTACGGAATGCAGTGCGCACCCTTGACTTCCAACCTGTGACGATTAGGAGCTGCATTGGTGAGCTTTAGATTTTGTTGGGATTAATGTAACCCTCCACCCCGCCCCGACCCCGTTAAGACTTAAAGTTTGTTTTCTTGGCATAGAAATGAGGGTTTCGGCGTTCCCGCGTCTTGAGGAAGTGCTCCCTGAAGCCCGACAGCCCTTCCAATTACTCTCTCTCTCTCTCTCTCTCTCTCTCTTGCTTCGCTTCCGCAAGTCCGAGGCAGACGATACAACAGCTTCAAAGCGCCATCTTCGGCATGGCCTTCCTTCTCCATCGTGTCCTGGTGAAGGGGATTGGTTCTGTAGATTCTTCGGGGCTTCGTGAGAATCAGAGTTTGGCGTTTCGGTGCCTCCTGGTGAAGTTCCACAGGGTCTTGCGAACTCTTCGTTTCGTTTTGTTTTGCAACGGGAATCAACTGCTACGTGCCATGGCGTGCCAAACCGAGCGAGACCCCGACAAGACACCTCAAGCTTCGATCCGGCACCAGAGCTTGCAGCTAGAAGCCCCAGTCCTAAAGCCCGATTCGGGTAGTTTGCTTGATCGTGGGGTGAGGTGTGCTTTGTACAGGAGTGGTGTACCCTGGAGGCGCTCAGTCGGACGACTGCAATCAGTGCGCATATAACTCGAGGCTCGCTCTCCGAGATTTGCAGTTACTAAAGGCGAAGTGCGCGTGGTTGCGAGCACAAGCAGCTTGATCCACTTCAGCACCAAATGCCCAAGCTCAAATTGCAAGATTCACATAAGCTTCCACTTAAGGAGTACATGAAAGCTTTCGAAGCACAGCAGAACTGAGCTGACATTTCTGATAGCCGAACGATGGGAAGTCCCCAGGATACGCCTAGTAGACCCCAGGTTTCCGAGCCGCCAAGCTGCCGGATCCGACACCTCGGGGCTACCTGGAGTTGAATGCTGAAATCTCATGTTGGAGGCTTTAGTTAGGGGTTTAGGAGTTCAGAGGCTAGATCACGGGATAGAGTTTCTGATAAAGCATCTGCGGCAGACTCTTTCAATCGATTGTTGCGAGAGTGCGCGGCTCTGCCAAACCGCTCCGGGCAGGAAAAGGGCCTGAAGGTTTGAAGATTTCGCATTGAAGCTGAGACCGTGTAAGCAACATTAGAGGCCGACGAAGGCAGCTGGCACGGGTGGGGTGGAAATGTCGCTCGCAGTGCGAGGCCTGAATTTTGAAGAGACCTCTTTCTAGGGCCCTGGTTATCAGGACGCCGCATGCGAGGGAGCCCTTTAAGGAGTTTGAGATCCTCCCGTACGACTAGGTTTCGTATTACCTTAGAGCTCCGTTAGGTTTTCGCTTGGAGCCTCGGGCTCCAGCCCAGACAGACACAAGGACCTCCCGTGCAAATCCCCGAGCCCAACCTCCATCTCAGAAGTGCTCTCGCCTGGATCAACAGCTGCATTGCAGCTGCCGTCGAATCTACCCTTCAGTTTGCCATGCTTCGAGCGTCAGCAGGCCGGAAGAAGACAAGCATCTTCGGCCTCAAACCCCCAAGCCCTACGCAGAAAGCCCCAAGCATCCATAACCCTGGCCCTGTCAACCGAAACCTCCAAACCCATCATTTGCTCCAAAGCCCGGAAACTGCGGAATGATGGCCGAGGCTCAAGCAGGCCACGAAGCGCATTCAGGAGGCCGGCAACCGGAAATTTCAAGGTCCGAGGTGAAGAGTTTCGGGCAATTGAAGCATCGATTCTTGGTCTGACACTGCCGCATGCCGACAGACAGCGCGCCCTCATTGTTGATCCAATGTGTGGCACAGGGTTCTCGTTCAAGTCGGGGACCTTGGGGTGCACGTTCCGCACAGGAGGATGCTGTAGCTCATTCCGTCCTACCTTGCCTCCGAAACACCAGCCGCCACATGCTGCTAATGATTTTGGATGAACTCAGCCTGCGAGGCATATGCGGCCGCGACCGCCAAGTGCCACTGAGACACCGTGCCCTGAGTTTCAATTTCATAATTCCTGTAGGCAGCAGCCAGAGCAGAGCGCGCCGACAAAACGAAGACCGAGTCGTGGCTTTCTCGCAGCTTTCTCGCAGCTCTCCTAATTTTGAGTATCTAGCTCCTGCTGAAAAAACAGAGCCTTTCGAGCTGAAAAGAGCTGTAGTTACCTTATCCGGACGCCTCCTCGAAACTCTCCACCAGTCTTGAGTTGGACCCAGCACCCATAGTTAACTGCAAACTGAGCAGTTGCCGACCGGCCTTCCTTTCTGCTTGGTCCGTAGACCCCAAGCCAAACTCCCCAAAAACGAGCACTCAGGAACAAACAAACGTCACGGGCTAAACCCCACGCCTGCGTTCATGAAGCTTTACAGCTCAAGCCCAACAAACCCTAAGCTCTCCAGCTTAAGGCTATACGAACCCGAAAGCAAGAACCTACAAGTCATTCTCCTCAATGGAGTACTACATATGTAGCTGGAGTTAACGACGACGGCAAGTTTCAATAAACCCTCGCATTTTTTCCAAACCCTAACTCTACAGTCGAGGTTGCACATTCAACGATAAGCCGATAAGCCCTCAACTCAGCATTTGGCCATTTCGTCGGGCATTTTGCTGCTGCCATGCCTCCACCGACGCAGGCCGACAGCCGAGAGTGATCCCGCGGGTACAACTCTACCACGTTATCCAAAAACGAAGGAGTGCATGGAATCATGAATTTGGGGCCTTCATTTGCAGGGGACCACTGATAACCTAGCCGAGTTTGGGGTTGGTCTGCGCTCGAGCGGTGCTTTCTTCGACGGTATTGAATGAGGTTGCTGTGCAGTCGTTATATCACGTTCACGAGTATCAAATGCAATCATGTTTATGGGTTTAGGGAACACGAGCGAGTGTGGATTGGTGAAGCTGAGATGGGGAGTGTGATTTCGTCGCTGAAGCCTCACCACACCTTCAGGTTGCCCCGCCAAAGGTTGGGCAGCTGAATCCAAAGCTGGCGCGGACCAAGTGGCCTCGCCGAACACAAGCTTTGTTGTTGCCACATGTTGATATTCAGGATGTGCTTGCCGGGTAATGGAAACGACACCAGTAGCTAATAGCATGAGCAACCTAAGGAAGCCTTTTAGAACAGCTTCATGGCAGCAACTGCAATCTGCACGTGGCATGCATGAAGTTAAAGAAAAGCATGTACATCTTATAGCAGCTCAAACTTAGGGTGTCGTGCACGCGTGGCATCTTCAACTCATACGCCCTGCAATCGCCCCAAAGCACTACTGAAACCCTGAGGTCTGTTTTCAATGACATCACCGGGGATTCGACCTTGTCGCAGCAGCTTTGCTGCTTATTTTCCTGAGAGACCAGTACCCGACGGTTCTTCAGAATAGCTCCCGGTGCACAAAGCTCGTCCTGACTCCGAAACCGCAGCCACCGCGGCCAATGTCGCACGATGCCTGGAGACTGTTCGTGGTATTTCAAGTTCCGTGATCTCGGTTCGCACTTCCAATCCATTGAAAAGGTTCACTTCACTTCTCTTCTTGATACCATGTTTGGCTGTCTGTTTGTGCATACGACATTGCTTCTGAGTTGTTGCCATTGTTGCTTCTATTCTTCTCGTGGGCTTCCACACTCCCGTCCTCGCTACATCCTCATCAATCCTGCTTGGAGGTTCATGGGTAGCTATAAGTGGGGTTATAAGTCCATATTAGGGCCATAAGTATAGCTACCCTACTTATAACCCCCATTTTATAAACTACCCATGAACCTCCAATGCTACACCTAGACTGAGACCTGGCGGTTCTTGCCGAAGGAAGCAGGATCCGCAGCCGGCACGCCCCTGACAAGACTACAACGGAGCACCCGGGACGGATCTCGAAGGGAAACAACACATGAAAAAATGAAAACCTAAGTCACTCCTTGTCTGAGAATGGCCCAGTTACGTAAACCTGAAGACGCTACGTTTAATGGTGGAGGCTCACCTATGAGACCTTCTACATCCTTACTCTCCACCCGAGACCCTACAGACTTGAAAGGCTCTTGAAAGATAAAACCCCAGCTGTGCAGACATTTCAGCAAACCTAGCGTGCAGGAGAAGCGTCACGATCCTTTGATGCCTTTCTGTAGGGACGGTTGAGATTGAGAGATGTAGGCGTTTTGGGGCGGATGTTAAAGAGCTTGGGTTTCACAGGAAATCGAGCCATCAGCGGAAGAATCCCATCCCAGTCATCCCTATTTCCTGAACCATCATCCCATGTTGCCTGCACAGCTTGAAGGATCTATGCGTCCATGTTCTTCTTGTTCGTTCCGACTTTCGTGGCGTGGCTTCAGATACAGGTCTTCGGAGGTTTAGGGCTCGGGCTGCTGAGAAAGGAATACTGCAACACCGGAGAGGCGGAATAGTGTGACCTTGCCAGAACTTCAGGCATTTGAAACGTCTTGTCCCAACGCTCGAAGGTGGCTCGGCTGTCTTGGATCGGCATGAAGACCACCGACACAGCCCTGCTCGGCCACTCAGGGACTTTGTACTTGACTGCCGCCCGACTTTAGCAGTGCAGGGGTATAGGGACACAGGATCCCAGTGCTCCCGACTGATGCCGAAGAGGTCGTGCTTTTCATCAACCAGTAGCCTCGTTTGACTGGTGTTCCTCGAAGGAACCAGTTGGAAAACGATAACATTGTGAGCTCATGTGTGCCCCGGGTTTGCATGTTGGAACGTGGTGGACCACTAGTTCGACCCACGAGTTTTGGAACATGTTGTCAGGCCCTGCTGAGGCTTCCTTCACAAGGCATACGCTTGCAGACAAGCTGCAACGTAGAGGTAGCCGCAGCCGGCAGGCGCAGCAGTAGCTGTAGCCTGGGTCGAGCCTGAGCAGCAGCAGCAGCAGCAGCAGCAGTATTATTGGTAGTGTTAGTAGCCTCCTTGTTAAAATCCGTATATACCTGTACGTATTTTCTATATATATATATATGTGCATAGAGATAGCTACAGGCTAGAATACATTCTGCGGATTTCGTGGGCCAGAGCAATCAAACCTAACTTCTATAGGATCCCCAGATCAGCCCTTAGAAGCGCCCCGTAAGTCTCAACGCCGAGTCCATTTCGCCTTTTTGTTAGACGCATATAGAATACTTCCCGGGACACCCGCTGAGAATGTCCCAGCCTTTTGGGGGTTCAGGAGCAAGACCAAGAGCAAAGAGCTCAGGAGCCAGAGGAGGAGCCGGAGCGAGAGCAGTAGCAAGAGCATGAGCAAGATCCCAAAAAGGTGACAGTGACATTCTGGATCAAACCCCCATTCTGATTAGAGCACATTTCGATGTTGAAGCCTTTATTGGATTATGGGGATTCAGCATGAGCGGGACACAGACCTTAGCGACAAGTCAAAAACAACTCCTTGTAACACCTTTCACTAAGCCGCACAAAGCAGTTCGTATAGACAACACACAAACCCCAGGCATCCTCTTTGTCGGATTTCTGGACGTCGATGAGCGGTGTATTCGTCCGATGGCCCACTTAAGTCCATGCGCAACAGTTCCATGGGCTCTCGGGTTTAAGGCTTTAGGGGGTTTAGGGTTTAGGGTCTAGGGAATTCAGTGTCTTTATGGTAGGCCTGCCAGGGCTTCATCTGACAAAAGGCTGTAAAGGCAAATGCTGTAAGCTTTGTGTTCAATCCTTTTTCTGGGACTTTAAGATTGAAGCGGGGTTGGGGATTTGGGGGAAGGTATGGGTAGGGTTGGTGCTTCTTTCACACGAAACCTTACTGACCACATCTGTGACATCTATGTGTTATCTGTATCACGTGCGTCTTTGCATATACGAAAGCAGAAATCCGCTGTTTGATTTGGGCGAAGGAATAGATACAAGTAGCAGCAAACATCCCTGATACAAAAACCGGCTGTCAAAATACAGGACTTGGATTTTTGACGCAGATCTCCCTGCGTTCGGGTTTAGGGATTCTCGCACGAAGCAGCTGGTCCGGCATTCATCGCAGTCACGCGACATGCACTAAAGCGAGATAATTCCGTGCGCTGCTGCTGTGGCCCCTAGACTAGACAACAGTCTGGTATGCCAGAAGCTCGGAAGAGCTTGTGCACTGCAACTGGAGCTTTACGAAAGCTTGCGAGGCGCAAGCCTTAAACCCTATACGCCGTCAATCCCTAACCTTGTCGATTCGCAGTGGCCCTCTGACCGTGTGCGAAGACGAAAGGAATCGAACAACAACAAAAGCAAGACACATGAGGTGAACGACGCTCTCTTGGGCTCGCTGTGCGGCCAGGCATGGAGCAGTGCGGGTGAAGTCGGAGGTAGACCTTAGTGTCCTTCGGGTTCTTGAGTTTGGGCTTCTATTTTACACCCCGGGCCGGTATCCTAGGCCTTACGGCTTGAGGTTTAGTGGGTCATGGTGTAAGCTTGCAGTTCTGTTCTCGCTCCCGCATGACGCAGGGCAGCACCGGAGGAGTTGGGATGATGCTTCGGGCTGCCTTCCACCTATAAACCGGGTTAGCTGTGATCCCGAAGTCACGCATGGATGGACGGACGGATGCGTGGATGCATGCGGCCATGAAGTCATTCCTCCTTCTGAGAGGCCTATGGAGCTCGGAACTATGACCTCGCCGGTTGGCCGCAGATGGCTTTTTTCGGCTCAGGAGGTCAAACCCCTAGACTCGCCCTAGACCCTCCGAAGATGAGTCCTGAGAATTCCAACAGTGTCAGCCCCAGTGCGCAAAAGGCTTGATCAAGGCCCGAAGGGCCTACATGCTTTTCGCCAATTCATCCTTCATGACCACAGCAGGAACGAACCCTAAGTCCAACGCATCCCATGATATTTAGGGCCCCTTCTTTCCCTGAAACACTCTAAATCCCCAAGCCCACCAGCCCCTACACCTCAGATCTCCTACGCTCCAAACTCCTGAAGCCACCAAAATCCTGCACACCCCCCAAAACCCCCGAAGTCCTAGCACCTCAGAAAAACCACCACGGGAAGGGGAATCCTCTCGTGTTTTTCCCAAACGCTCTCTTTTGGCTCAGGTGGGGATCTGGCTCCAAGTCTCTCTGACCCTGCCTCTCTGCCGACTGGAAAAAAATCTTGTAGGCTTCTGGGATGGAAATTTTGTGTTTTTTTCCTGGATGGGTGGGGGGGTACAGTCGTTTAGGGTTTGTCGCTGTTGTTGTTGATCTTTCCGGACTAGTTGTTCGGCTTTAGGTTTCGTCCGCTAGTGTTTGGGACTTAGGGCTTCAGGGTTCGGGTTTAAGGATCGCGGCGTTTCGGTTCGGGATCTGGGATGATGGAAGCAACTGCAGTCCTTGAGAAGGAGTGCTCCTGTTACAGAAGTAAGAAGTTAATGGAAAGAACTCAGGCACATTCGTGGCAGTACAGGCTTTACCTCCCCGGTGCATCACTATAATCGCATCTTGCATGTAGAAGCTGCAATGTTCTGAAGGTCGGATGGTTAACAGTCCTTGTGTCCTGCTATTCGTAGAGAGTTTCGCAAGTAGAAGACGGACAGGAGCACTAGAGCAAGTTTTGGGTTCATCAGCTCTGATTCCTAGATTTGCACCCGAACCTATGGGCTCCTTCCTGAGGCTTGTAACAGGACAGGTTCGGAACCCCCAAACTGAGCTCAGAGGTTTTCCTGGGTCTTGATCCCCGTGGTCGCTTTGTGGTGCATGACGACCCCGGTTCTGAAGCACGGCTTTCACGCCGACACGGATGTGGCGAATGCAGCGGGCTACTACGCCATGGTGCCTCCGTTGCTAAAGCGTTCCATGTGACAAAAACCCATTGAGGTGTCAAGCCCGCTGTCGAAACCCTAGGTGGATTCGCAGTGAGTCCTCGGACAAGTCTGAAATATTACTACTGTGACGGGTGCAACATGCGAGCTTGAGTAGGCCTTGGATCAGTTCCGTGCTTTAGTCGTTGAAAGTTTGGGAGTTCCAGCGCTGTGGTAGCGGCAACATCTCTTCGGTCCACAGTTTGACGGGCCGTTTACCGGAACTGAAATCGTGAGAGAGGCTTCCATCTTTGTTCCACTCTGTTCAAAGCTTTCTGCAGTTATTTGTGACACGGCCTGTCTTAAGGGTTGAGGATTCTGATCCAACACAACAAAGCCGTGGGCGTTAGCTTAAGCGTGTTGTCATCTGCATGCCTCCGTAGTGGTCTTCGTATCCTTGAAGACCTCGAGATTTATAAGCACGGCGTGTCAATATCTCGAGGTCCGAGCACGACGAAGAAAGAGCTTCGAATGGCATTCGGGGTTCGGGATTCATTTTGCGAGTGCCCTTTGCGACGGTGCAGCCTACATACACCTTGTCTGCACATAGTCCCTGTTCAGTGATTCAAGTAGTAAGCCCTACAACACTAAATGCTTGATTCCATGATTTGCGACAGACAATACAGTCCCCTGGTTGAGGCGCCCAATGTCCGGCCGTATCCTCCGTGTACCAAAGCCCACCTGGACTTCCGACAGAACCCCGACGTAAAAAGACACCAGCTTATCAACTTCAAGCTTCAGCCATGTACAGGTGATGGCGTGTTGTCTTCCCGCAACGATGCTATCTTCGAGGTGCTTTCGATCAATTTCATGCAAGGATTCGACTGCAACAGTAGCTTCGCTCCGGGGTCGTAGATCAGAGTTTTGTTGCATGAGGTTTCGAGAAGAGGGCCCTCTGAACATGGGTCATGTCGAGTTGTAACATGCATCAGAGAAGGTAGGGACAGCGAAGCATGTGCCAGATGCGCGATGACGCACGTTTGCTGCGACCTTGCTTACTCAAGACGTCTGCACCTTCAACCTTAAGACTTATGGCTACAGTTTTGAAGCTCACCTTCAGACCCAAGGCTAACAACCTTCTTCAATTCCCAGAAGATCACGGGTCCAAGCTCCAAGACGACGCCCGTCGCCTTGTTTCTTAACCTGGTCTTGGGCTTACAGCCGCTTTGCGGCAAGGCTTTCGGTGTAGGGCTTCTCGAGCAGATAAAGGCCAAGCATCACGACAGTTGGATGGGAGGCGACTTGTTCGGAGCGTCCAACACAAAATTGGGAGACGTTGCCTTGCAGCTCGCATATACTCCACTCGTCTCGTCTGGTGGTGGTTGAGACGATCGTGGCTGAGAAGCCAGTGGCTTCTACCACATCAAGGATAAGGTTTAATTAAGTGTCCCGGTTTGTGCTACACTCCGTTTTGGCCACACTCTAAACTCCGTGAGTCGTTGGTCCAGCCTCGCATTTGTCGCAGCCTGCAGCTGCACATGCCTTCCGGCAGATGTTGAGAACGGCTGGGTTGCGGTGTTGCCTGCATGATTGCAAGCCTGCAGAATCATTCGTCGTTTGGGGTTGTTCTCTGAATAACTTTTAAACAGAAGCCCCACACGCTGAACGGTATTCCGTAGAATTAGGATCCCTTCCTCTTGCCCGAGTTCACACGTACTGCCCCGTAGGCTCACGCAGTCCACAAACCTCGGAATCCAATCGAAAGATAAATCGGGCGAAGGAAGCCTCGCGAATCGGTTGAGGTTCATGGCACGCTCATGTTTTGCAAGAGATCCACATACTGTTCAATGCAGACGTTAGCTATCAGGTTCGTCCTTGGCATCCCAGCCGCCGGTATCCAATTTGGCTTCTGGGCCTGTCCGGTTCCTGGGGTCCGCAATCTGGAGAGCTGACTGCACTTGAGGTCCTAGGAATCGGAGACTTGAATTTTGTCCGAGTGCCGACGAGTCCCAAACCCGAGACTCGAGTGAGGGAAGGGCAAGGCAGGACAGAAACAGAGAGAGAGAGAGAGAGAGAGAGAGAGAGACGGCTGTTGCTGCTATTCGCCTGACATAGCAGAGGTGGTGACAACGACGGTCGAGTGGTTTGTGACCGTGATGCTGCTCGCACCTTTGTGCAAAAGAACAAAGGACAGTTGATACAATAGTCATAGTGGCTGCTGTGTCCTTCAGGAATTGTTACGCCAGGCCGGATTTGAGCGAGCCATCCCATCGGCACCGTAAACAGAACTGCAAGTATTAAAGTTATTAAAGAACTCTTGTGGTCAATCCTCTGGTTCAGGGCGTATCGGGCTTTCTTTCCTGTCTCTTGTGACCGGCCGAGGTAGTGTACTGTGGGTTCCTGAAGTATCATGAGAAGTGCTACGGGCCGAAGCTGCGCGAGTGGAACTATCTTCGAGATGTCTTCGTGGCACCCCTCCTGACGGATGGCACTGGCAGCCGTTTCCCGTGCCTTTTCCAATGGCAATCACTCGGAATTGATGATTTCTGGGGGAGCGAAGGATTCAGGGATGATGTTTCGGATTCAGAACGGCTCTTGTGCGCAAGCCCAGGTACTACGATGAGAACATCCACCCGAGGCCAGTTCGGGGCGGCCTGTCGTTGCGCCGTCGCGCTGGATTCCACGAAAGCCTAAATACTATGTATGGCACTTAGGTTGTTAGGCTATGAGATCGTTTTTCTTCTCTCAGGACAACACCAAGATATCCCAATCCCAGCTAATGGCCTTACCTGTGATCTGTACAAGTATATGGGCCTTCAACGCCTCGCCTTTCTTTCGGGTACGGGCTAGCGGAACGAACCCTCAACATAAAGCAGCTTTGAAAGATGCAGGCAAGAGGCACAAAACACGACAATATGCAGCTTGGGGCCGAAACTCCAGAATGAAGCCTCAAAGCTTTAGTTCTCAATCCTGCAAATGTAAACCCTCCAAAGCCGCATCAGTTTACTTTAAGTTGAACATACACACCGACTGTTGCGTGGCAGGCTCGGGAACTTTGTCCGCCTGGTGGTTCCAGCGACGCTGGCCTTGGCTTCCGACTTTTGGCGGATGTCGGCCATTGGCGCCATGCCCTGAATTGGTTATGTTCACTATCTATCTATCTACCTACCTAGCTAGATAGACAGATAGATACATAGTTACGTCTAGAGTCTACGGTTTAGCGTAATTGCGAATAGTACATTGCTTTGTAACATAGTAAGCTACTAGTCAAGTAGCTGGCGATCTATGGAAGGGCTGGCCCTGAAAGTAGTCAGCCTTTAAAAACAATGGTAGTACTACCAATAATAGTGTTGATAATGCTGACTAATATAAATGAGAACAAAAGTAATTATTACAGAAGCATCAGAATAATAACACTAAAAATTAAACAACCAGCAAAAATAGCAATATAAAACTTAAGAATAATGGTAATCATAAGACTACTAGTAGTAGTAGTAGTAGTAATAATAAACTCTGGTTGCAAAACCATGTTGCAGTTGGCTTCCTGGAAACGCACTCGAGAAGTGGGTCTGTATTACACGGGTTGGAAGCATCACAAGTCTTGCGCGCTTGGTAGAGCTGCAGCCACAACTTGATAAGCAGTGCCAGGTGTGGGGTTTTAATGAATGTTGCGGTGAAGGATATTCAGGATGAGGGCCATTTTGAGTGAGTCCCTTGTGCGAATAAAGTTAACCAAGAACCACAGGTTCTTTTCTGTTTGTTCTCAGCTCTGGCCGTAGCCACGGCTAGAGTGCCTGGGCCTTAATAATTAGAATAGGGTTTTGGGGTATACTACACTATATTTAATACTAAGGAACTATAAGAATAGTGTTGGAAGTTATTCAGTAGGCTTCTATAGTATACTCCTGGGCACTCTCGGCCACGTATCCTGCACGCAGAACTTCAGAGTGCATTCGATGCTGCAAACATACCTTGTCCGTTTCCAAATGGAGCTCTGCATGCTCAGAGACTTGCATTGCGGGGCTGCGCAAGTTGACTCCCAAAGCAAAGCAGGTCACGGGTTTTTGACAAAGCCCCCATTCCTACTCTCCAGATCCTTAGGGTTTGGAGCAGCCTGAACCCAGGGCAGAGCTTTTGCAGAAACCCTAGACAAATGAGGGTCTGGGAAGTCGGGATCTGGGATCTCGGTGCCTTGCTTCAGTGGCCGGTGAAGCCCCTATTCGGTTCCACAAGAACTCCGAACATATAAATAAAAAGTCTCAAGCTGTGGTGCTCCATAACCCGAAAGCCGCAAGGGCAGAAGAGCTCAAGATAAGCCGCCACGAGGACTCTTGGCGGGCACTCTCGGCGATGCCGAGGCCGCTGCGGCCAAGGGTGTTCCTAATTTGGGACTTTCCGAAAATTAGGGTACCTTATTTTGGGGTCCTTATAAAACGGATCCTACTATGTAGGGTACTATATTAGGGTCCCCTATTTTCGGAAACCCCCACTTTTCTAACTGCTTGAGTTTAGGATCAGCGCAATCTTGTCAGCGTCTCGACAACAATTCCCAAAACCTAAACCCGAATGCCAAAAATCCAAACAAACTCAGCCCAAAGGTAGGCGTTTTCAATGCCAGCTACCGCCTGGCCTGGATGAACTTGACGATTATCGGCGCCTTCAGCAGCGCGTGTGTGACACAGCAGCTCTCTTTGGAATTGGCTCCTGTCCTAGATAAGGCTTTTGGGATTCTAGTCAAGTACAGTCTCGTCTCAGGTTACTATCTCAGTGACGACTTTACGGATGACCCCGTGTATGGTTGAGGCTTCTTGTTTAAGGCCCTGTGGGCCCGTGACATTTGAGGATGTGTTGCCTCGATGTGCGCCCACGACTTCAAATCACGTGAAGCCTTTCAACCACCCGCATCACCGGCCGTTCTTTCAAGACACGTATCCCATTGCTGTCGTTCAGAGGTTACGCCGGGACGTTGATTTGTGCTACGGGTCCTATGAGCTGCAAACCCGAACCTGTCCTGTCTCCGGTGCCACACCGACGTGCCGTCAGCGAGGGTTAAAAGAACCTCCAACAAACACCCCCACGAAATCACCATCAGTGACTTCAACAACCTTAGATCTTCAAGCCCCTACGCCATAAACAAGAGTTCTTACAGCCAAAACCTTGGCGCCCTCACATTCTGTGAAACCTGAGGCTGGGCATCGCTCTCGGAACCGGCGACGGCCGCCTTTCCGCGAAAATCAGGGACCTGGGTATCTTGGCCTTAACTTAAGGTGTTTTCAGTATTAATTGCGGTACCTTCTGTTTTGGTCAGTTTGCTCAGTTAACATGATTTGTTTTGGGCTCCCACTGACACTTCACACTGTCTTTCGGTATGTCGCAGCTCCGAGACTTAATCTCGTGCGTATAGCTCCGTGTTACGGCACATGCAGTCTTGGGTGCCGTGAAATGGCGTAGGGCGCGGGCTTGTATGCGCTGTCGTACCGAGAATAAATTTGGGCTTGCACAAGCCGCAGAAGCTTGTAGACGTCGCAGACGTTCAGCCTCCTGCCTTACAGCCTGACCTTTGGGTTTGTGCTTTTCCTGCCCGGAAGCAACCCAGGCATCGGCAGTGTTGCAGCTTTTCTCCTGGCGACGACTGTTGCCACGCTGGTTTATGTGAGGCAGTTGGCATCCATCTTCAGCAGCTTGCCTACTTGGGCTTGGGGCCTACGATGCATTTTTTTTCGCGCATTGTCGGGTTTCTAGGCACACCCCACCAAGACTGATCAAGGTATTACAAGCGACCTTAATTGTTGCAAACGTTCTCCGCAAGCGAGGGCACTCGATCCTGAGATCAACGACACCTTAGCTCTAGAAAGCATTGCGTTATGCGGGCTCACAAATAGCAAGAAACCACATGAAAGTTGAGATGTCTTTTCAAAACGTTCTCTCAGGCAATGACCCAGTGGTGATCAATTTGTTCGAGGACTGTCGCATGGAGATGGGTCTTATGATATTCTTCATGTGCTCCTTGATTGCAGAAGGACTGGTACGTTTGCTGGAGAGTCGAGTGGAGATTCGAGTTCCTGTGAAGTTTTGCTGTGAAGCGTTCCCTGCTGCGTGCACTCGCAGAACCAAGGGCTAGCCAGATTGCCAACATGAGTGTGAAGGCTGCTTCCTGTGCTCGTATCAACTCCAACGGGTGCTTTGTTTTCCATCTGCATCTCAAGCTTCACAAACTCACGCAGTTAAAGTTTCAAGACACGTGTCATGCTGCCAACCGAAGCCTTGTGAATCATCAAGAAACCTGACCCCAAATCAGCAACTAGGCCGCAGGAAAGCCTTGTTAAAACCGTAAGCTGCCGTAAACCTTCAGCTCAAAAGCCCTAAAGCCCTGAACTCCCCTTAACGGCCGGCAACCAGGAGCGTTGCTTGCATACCCAGAACCTTCAGTTCTCCGCCCCATAGTAAGTCGTATAAGGCTTTTCCATGCACTTCGAGAGCCTTCTCATGGCATTGAAGAAGCAGCCTGGATTCCGTGAGTGAACTCTTGTTGGCTCTACCTGTCAGACGTCTCCCCTTGCAGGGAAAGCTTATAGAAATCAGGGAACCTAGCGGATCAGTGCTCGGAGATCCTTATGCAAAATTCTTTTCTTGAGTCTTAATACCGGGTTCTCATTCAACTTGATTGCACAAGGTCTGATTCACACGGGAACCTTACGACGCAAACTTTGTTTTGTGATTCCTAGTTCTGGCTCCTTTTGTATAGCGGCCGTCTTGGAGCTTTCATGGTCATAACGTTGCATGACGTCACAGCGTGTCAGGGGGTACGCAGTTTTTGTCGGCGCGGCTGTTCGGGATGAGGACTTTTTGATGAGAGTGCTGCATGATTGGATTTATGTGCCGCTCTATAGCTCCGATTGTGTAGGGCCTTCATCGCACGCGTTCGGGCCTCTGAAGGTTTCGCTGCTTCGTTCCTTTTCTGATAGTGGATTCGGAATTTGTGTTTAGGGTGGGTGGGATGCGTTGGGGATTCAAGGACTGAGACTCTAAAGCCTCGCGAGATACAGTAAAGGAGGCTTCATTAGCGTCCAGGGTGTCGGAACCAGGGCTTGGGACCTCGGATTCTTTGGAGAATTCAATAATCATCAATAACCATTGGTCAATCCCGGTCGAAGCCTACAAGGCAGACATGCCTTCAAAGACCGTTCCGGAGACTCAAGGCGTGCTTTCAGTCACTGAGAACCTAGTGGCAGACCACATTCGTCTTCAATGTTCTATTGTTTGTCTTCGTCAGAAAATTAGATCAAGCTGTCACCGGAACTGCAAACAATCAGCTTCTAGGACCCTGAAAAACCCACACGCCAAACGGCATAGAAGCCGAGTCTAAGGACCGACACTGTCTTCAGGGCTGCCTTCATCGGATCATGGGGAGGCAGGGGTCTCGAAACCTTTGGTGAGCTTTGAGGGCTGCTGGGCTCAGCAAGAGGCCAAAAGCTGACGCTTTCGGGGCATCTCCGTGGCCCCTGTTCCAACTTTCAAGCCTTGACTATACCTTTGTACCACTTCCAGCTGTGGGGGGTTCTGGTTTTTTTGCATCGTCGGGGCTTAGCCTTCATATGGGTAGTTCTCTAAGTTAGGGTCCCTTTTTAGGTCCCCAATATAGCACGGCACCCTTAAAAGAAGGACCCCAAAAGGGACCCTAATTTGGAGAAATACCCATATCTCACGTGCTTAGCTGGGCCGCAGGGCCTAGTGCCCTTCGGAAGAGATGAGGGGCGTTCGGGGTGGTGTCCCCAAGCTAGGATTTCGGCTTTGAAGGCTTCGCACGTAGTGCCATGTTGAGGATGGGGGGTTCGGGTTTCGAGCTTCACGAAGAGAACAAGTTTTGGGGTTTTGGGGTGCAAGGTGTTTGTTTAGAAACATCGGAACTGGACTTGGATACCATTTTTCACCGAAGTCGAGGTAGCCAGACGGAGATACTGAGACGCATGCATGCATACGCACATATACATACCCTGTAGATACAGTAGCCAGCATAGAAAGCTGTTTGATGCATGCGTGTATATGGCCGCGTAATTATTTGTTCGTTTGCTTGCTTAAACCACGAAACAGTTTAATGCAGGCTTTGAGAGGCTCACCTAGAGAGAGACAGGTAGACAGACAGATAGATGGATGTACAGACAGACAGACAGACAGACAGACAGATAGAGATTAGCCTTCCCAGGTCAAGTTCCAGCAGTGCTGCTGCTGTTTTACTTCTCCGGCCGCACGCTGCAGAATGTTCCTCGGAGTCTTCTCGCTGCGTCAACACGTCTCAGGTAGTTTGGGCTTCGGAAGGTTTACACAGGGGCCTAGCACTTACGAGCCCAAAGCCCCAAACCGCCCCTGTCCGCCCCAAATTTATAGCTGTCATTTTGGACCCGGCTGCGTTTGAAGCTTTCGTCCACCAGCCCAAGTGACACTACGACGGTTCGTTGGCATTTGGGTTTTAGGGTTTCTGCTAGGGTGATATGTTTCTAGAGTGTAGAGCGTTACAAGTTTGGGGTTTAGGGGTGTTGTTGTGGCAAATTCAAACTCTCGGCGTGGAGGGGGAGGAGAGTTTGACCTCATCGGCCATTTCCATCCGGTACTCCAACAAGTGCGGCTGCATCTCTACGGTTCAGCATGTCAGAGCTTTGCCACAGAACAGCTTGCCGGCAACATCAATGTCACATGGCAATCCTGTTGCATACTACTTTCCTCTCCGACTGCATGCATAACTAAATAGTGGTTTCTACGGTGCAGCAGCGATTCGTTCAAGGGCTCGGATCCTGATTTGTGGCTTTCCATGTTTCCGGCCCAAGAAGCTTTCTGATTTAAAGATCGGAACATGTTGGGCTGCATTGGGGATTGTTTTTCGTATAACTTTGACTGCGCGTTCTATCTCTTGGTTGGTTTAAATCTTAGACTTCGGCTTTTGCTTGGATGTTTGTCTGTGCGACTTGCTTTTGAGACTCTTCCGCGCTCAACGCAAAGCCACGGACCCTAATGCACTAAATCCGTGCATCATCACTGCCATGTTCGTGTCAATTTGTGGTCTCAGCCTGAAACCTTTAACCCTCGAAACATCTTGCCACAGGTTTATCTCGGAATCGGCCTGGGTTATGCACTGCTCTTCGTACTCTACGTCATCCCGTTTTTGAGGACATGTCGACTTTGTGAACTGCTTGTAGGGCTTCGTAGGCTTGTCAAGGATGTCCCAGACATAACCCACAAGCATATTGCCTTAACAGCTTAGGGGTGTCTCTGAGAGTAGAGGGTCTTTCTGCACATTATGGTTTTGGAACCTCTGTTGTTAGTTTGCTTCTATTGAATTCTCAACCCGGCCGCCTGGACTTTCTGAGATTCAGGTTTGCTCGGCTTTCGGTGGCTTTCAGGTGTGGGCTTAGTCAAAGCACAGGCAACTCAAACTCGATGCTCTTGACCTTCAGAGCCTCCGACATGTTTGGTTGGTTAACCGACAGGTTGCTGAGTCTTGAATGCAGTAGCTGCCCGTGAAGCCGTCGCAGAGACAGCAACCCCACCCCGAAGCCATAAATCTGAAAGTTGACAAATTCACAGAAAGTTGACAAATTCACACAATCATAAGGTCATCATGCAATGCCTTGCCCCCTATCGGTCCGAATCAACAGATCCTAGTGCCTTGTGGCGATCCCAGAACGGCAGTCCAGCCCAAAGTCCGGAATACCTGAGACTCAGATGCAGGACAGACCTGGACGAAGCGGCGCAAGCAGCCTCCGCAGAGACACTCCATGCATGAATGGCAGGGGATGAGGAGGAATAAGAGGGGTTGAGGATGAAGGGACGAGGCTTTGGGTTTAGGGTTTGGGGTGGTCCCTGTGACAGGACCGGGATCTTGACAAGTTATCCGGGTTTCTAGAGCAGTTGCCTACAAGGAAGCTGTGCAACGCTGATATCGGGGCCTCCCGTGTTGCCCGAAGCTCAATCGCCTTCGATTTGGCATGGCAGGATCAAATGGGCCAGCTACAGACCGCAGACTCTTGAGAAGCCGACCGGACGCTAAAACCAACAATGCGCAGCTACAGATTCTAAACACAAAGCCCGGCTACTACTCTCTGTTGGAAGAAGTGAGTCGGAACCTGTTGCCCTCCTGCCCAAGTGCTGAGGTTCAACCTCCAACCCCCAAACCCCGAGCATTTGCGATGATACGTTACACCCAACACCCGATTATGAAGGATCCCGAAGCCGTCCCATGCCAAGGAATGATGCTACCACGCCGCTGGCAAGCTGACCTCGACCAACCAGGAGGCCCCTCCAAACCAATCCACCCAAACCCCTATTTTTTGTATAAACTCCCGCTCCACTATACCGTACCACCCCCCCCCCCCCCCCCCGCACGGTGGTCCTAGCGGAGATACGAGGCCCTTTCCGTTACACCTTCAGCCTTTAGCGCCCGAATCCTGGGATCCTGCATTGACCCGAAGGAGGTTCCAGTTGGAATGCCATCGACCTGGCCAGCACTAGTGAATGTCTTTTTCGACACAAGATAGGCATCTGTGACCAACCCGAGCAGCATTGCAGCCGCACAGCAATTCATCCTAACCTCGGGCGAATCAGGCCTCCTGGCGGATAAACGGTTTACGGGTCGCAGTACGGGTTGATGCTACTGACAGGTTCTGAATTCTACAGACGTGTTGGAGAAGGTTGCACAGATCTCTGCACTGGTTTAGGAGCTTCGAGTTCCACCAGGTTTGTGCGGGGATGTGTTTGTTTCGGGCGTGCCTCGCCTTTGGTATTGAAAATTTTTTTAAGGCCCAGCTGGTGGACGTATTCCAGAAGTTTGCTAACCACCATCGAAATCCAGAAACCTCAACACGACCCAGATCCTCGAGCAAACGAAAGCCCAAACTCTAAACCCTAAACAGCCATACACTGCCATTAACAGCCTTGTCTCCCAACCCGCAGGGCTCCGCAGGCTGCGGCGCCTCCTCCTGCTGCCGGCCGTGACTCTACAAGGGTTTGGTACGGTTCTAAGCAACAAAGGGACCTTCATGGAGTTTGGCATGGATTGTTCTAGGTCTAGGCCATCATGTCGGGAGGGGTTGGAACCCACCTGTTTAGGAAAGCAGGCTGCAGTGTGTAGAATTCTAAACCCCGCACAACCTCGGCCATTTGCAGCAGATTCACCGCACCGCTCTTATTTTTGCCTTTACCGTAGAGTTTAGGAGTGCTTCGGGTTGAGTCTGGGGGGTTGAGAGACAGTCCTAAGTCGTGAGGATTAGGCTTCAGGATTGGGGGGGTTTGGAAGTCATGGCATAATTAATACTCTCTAGGAGTCTTTAGCAAAGCTGACCCAGGCTGCGGCCGTGAAAAAAGAAAGAGCAAAGTCTCTCCGCGCGGGGTTTGGCCTTCGAGTTCTGGGAGCTGTGTTACCATCGCCAGGGTTTAGGTTCGTCAACTCTATACACCTGTGTAACAGTCATGCCTGAACCCGATGCTAGCCCGGTGCCCGGAAGATGAGTTCGACCAAGCTTGGTTCCTCCAATCAAGCGTTTCGCGTCTTCAGGCTTTAGTGCTGCTGTACGACATCCCATCTTCTGGATTTCCAAGCCTAGAGATGCAGAGCTTGGCCGTCGGGAATTTCTATGGCTTTCCCTGATTGCTGAAGCCTCCCCAAATAGACGTCGAAGAGGCAGTGGAACCACTCCCCTTGCGTGCACGCATTCACACGCACGCGCGCACACACGCGCACACACACACACACGCGCACCCACACACACACACACACACGCACGCACGCACGCGCGCGCGGGCACACACACGCCCACACCTCCCTCTTGCATGCTTCAGTGGAATTGATAGGCCGCCCGCTGCAGCAATTTTTGGGCCAGAACGAAAACCCTCGTCTGCCGTGCTGTCTTCATCCGCGATTGCAGCGCGCATCGCTTGGCACTTTGGCTTCCAATGGGTCCGCTGTCCGAAACCTGGTCAGGTCATTTTTTTGTCCCTGACCACCCAGTCAAAATCGAAAAGCCCGTGCAACCCAATGATACTGATTTTGGTCTCAACCCAGCATCTCCACACAGGCAGCTATAACATTTTTGCCTGTACTGGAATCGGACGGTCCGAAAACTTTGCAAGGAGAGCAGACTCAGATCCTAATGAAGTGCATCCACACGCTTGCGTGGACACCTGGTGGATGAAGAATCTTAGATCACCAGGAGTCCACCTGTTCTCACAAGAACAAAGGTGACTGCATCAGTTCTCACAAGAACACAAGATGCCGTGCATTAGTTAAATCTGAGCGCAGTTCATAGAACCTGTATTGTCCAGTTACATCTTCCTTATGATTTCCCATAAACAAAGCCAAACGGCGTGTGTCAAGATGAAAGAGAGCACGCTGCACTCTTTCTTGACATGTAAGTAATAAGTATCATATGAGATCATGAAAGCTTCGCTATGCACATGACCTCTGAAGCCAACGAATGTGTGATTACACCTTTGAGTGTGAATGGCCATAGTCGAAGAACTCGTCATGCTTTCAACACAAGGCAACTAGTGTCTGTTTGAGATTCTAAATGCTGCTGGCCCCAAGGCCTTACAGAGTGCTTACAGCAATGACATGTCCGCTGCAGTCATAGTTGTATACTCCGTCTTGTATTGGCTCACGTGGTTTTCGCAACCTACACTTAGCCCTCTCAGCGAGACGTGTACTTGCTGAGTGCTCTCAAGCCATTAGGTTTTAAGGATCCTGAATTATGTTGAGCCTCTATGTTGAGCCTCCCACAGGAGTGTGGAGGATATTTCGGGGGACGAGAGAAGGCATTTACCCGCGGTTTAAAGTTTTTGGAGGGGGAAGTTTTCGAAGGGGGAGGGGGAAGTGCGAAGGTATTTTTCCGCGGTCGGTTTAAAGAGCTTGGAGGGGAAACAGTCTCCGTTGGGGTGGGGGAAAGTACGAAGGTATTTTTACGTGGTTTAAGTTTTAAAGTATTGTAACATGTCTGGGGAGAACTGTGTCCGTTTTTCCTAGAGCAGGGCAAGTACGAAGATAAATTTTCCGCTGTTAATAATTAGTGCATGGAGGGCGAACCCGTGTCCGTTTGTCGGGAGGGGGGAGGTACGAAGGTAATTTTCCACATTCATTGGGCCCGATGCCGTTGTGACAGCTGTCGACAGGAAAGGAGTTCCAGAAGATTATTGGAAGCAGAAATAGCTCGTGAGTTTGACTTGGTTTCTGTTTGTACTCACGAAAACAGAGTGCCAGAAAAAGGTGGAAACGCAGTGGCATTTCGTTGTCAGGTTGAGCAAACTTCGTTAAGGGTGCCGTGAGTGCTTGGAAAACGGCGTAATTGCGTAGTACTGTGGCGCAGTCGGGCTATCCTTTGGAGTGGCCCTCCTGAAGAGACATCTGCACGGGGTGTCGATGCTGAAACTCTTTGAGACGACAGCCTGCTGTAGCACAATGCGACAACCCTGTCCTCATCTGCAAGATGATGCCTTTTTGGCGGTAGACGCGAAGTCGGCAAAAGTAGGGTAGTGTACGGATGGAGCTTAGTTTGGCCCCAAGACCTGACTCAACAAAGTCACGCTGACTAGTCACCCTTTCACGGTGGTGGGAACGGGGGATCCGATGCCCACTGTTCGGCCATCTAGGTCCGGAGATCTCATGCCGGCTACTTCGCCGATCTGAGCTTCGGCCTTCGTGTCACTCGCTGAGGAGGTGGACGATTTCACCACATGATCTTGTTTAAAAAACTTGTTTCACAGATTTGTATCGCGCGCTGTGTTTCAGATCGAGCGTCTTTCAGGTGCGTGGTGCCTTCTCTCAGGTCAGGACTGCCAGCTAAAGAAGTACATGCATCATGTCATTCCATAGGGCCTGTCAAGTACAGACTAACTGACTAACAATACAATTCATTCAATTCACCAGGGTGGTCAAGATCGGGAGTTTCTTAATGGAGCCCACAAGCCCCGAATGACATGTAGGGTTCTGACAAGCTTCTCAGGCACAAGTCCCAGTTTAGACTGCTAGGAAGTTTATGTGGGGACCGGGAACTTTGCAGTTTCGGACAAACTCGAAGTCAGGATGATCACAAAAGTGCCCAAACCCATCCTTCCCATGCAGGACAATGGCTTCTCTGCTTCGCGACAACTGAAGGCGGATATTCGGTACAGTGTGTCTGAAGGAATTCATTCTAACACGGTTGCAGGCCCATGCCCTAAACCCTGAGCCCAAAAGGGGTTTAGGTTCTGTGTCCAACACTACGCGGCTGTGATGCAGAGCGAAGTCAGCCAAGTGTAGTTTGCTCCTAGACCCAAAACCTCTCAAAGCCTAAAGCCTTGAGTTTCCTTTCCCAAGCTTGGCAGACCTGTGGACATGGCCTCGACTGCGGCAAGGTCGCGCGAGAAGCCTGCAGGGGCCTCGGCCTTGTCCAAAGTGTGTCATGAAGCGTTTGGGTGAGCCTGTCGATCTTACAGTGTGAGCGTGAGCGTCTTTGCGCCACGGATGTCAGCATCCCCATTCCATTCGGGTGTTTTACACACACGCAAAGACTCCATTCCAGGGCGGCGGTTGCTCAGTTGCCAGCCTTTGATGCAATCCCAGTTCAGGGTGCTCGGTTCTCGCAGTCGCTCCTGCCTTCTCTATGTTGAAGTGACTAAGTGGGTACCGGAAGTGCATGTGGTCACTAGACAGTGTGTCCAGCCAGCAGGCAAAAGCAGCTCACCGCCTCATGCTTGTTCTTGAAGACTGGAAGCTTCAAATCATGAAAGCCCGAAGACCGAAACTTCGAAACCCCAGTTCGGAAGCCTTCAGGCTCTTCACGTTTTCAAGCAATGCTCTTGATGCCGTAGTGAGAGGAAGGTGCGAGGTGTGGCGGAGGTTTTCCAAAGATGATTCGGGGCATGCTTTGCTCGGACTGTGCAAGTTTGAATAGGCACTTCTGCTCGACCTGCTTCTCTCAGGGTAGTTTCAATGGCGCGAGCGATATGGACTTTGACGCTGAGGCCACAGCACGGCCGGAGCCTTACAGAGCCAGAGTAGTGCCGAGTGCTGGTTCGTAGGCTCTCAGACGAGCTTTGCTTTGAAAGCCGAAGATTGCCCTGAGCGATGCTGGATGTTTCCAATCAAGGTTGGCCCACCCATCCCAGTGCGCACATGTGCATGCCTGAACACATGCATGCATATTTCAATGTCTTTGAATGCATGCATACATGCCCTACATGCTTGCTTACCCTCATGCCTAAAACTGCACACATCTAGCTATCTACGCTTTTACCTACATACATACAAGTGCCACCTTTGCCCGTCGGCTGATAGTTCTATGGCGACGGACGTGGGCCTGTGCAGCTTGGAGTTGCCCAGCGGACAAGCTTCGCAAGTGGGGAGTCAGTTGCCTGATTTTGGTTCGGCGGTGTTCTGGCGAGACTATCTCATTTTTGTCACGCTCTTCGTGGGTCTGAATGTGGCAGTGCGGCTGAACGCGACAGTCGAGTTCCAGCCTTGGCCATTTCTCGCACGCCTTGCGCTTTCCTGCTCAAAGAGCGTGTCTTTCACGTGGAAGAGTGTGGAGGATGCTGCAGAACCTGCAAAGATCGTGCGCAACCCAAACGAGAGCTTAGTGAAGGGCTGTGCGGGGCGCACTTGTTGGGTCCCGGCGGCCAAGACAATCCCAGCGCTGCTCAAAGAGCAAGCAGCGCGGAATCCAGATGCTACATTTCTAGAGATCTGGGCGCCTGGGAGGGGGATCACTCGAAGTTTAAGTTTTCGGCAATTTGCCGGTATGGTGCAGAATGCAGTTGGATGGTTGAAGGCAAAGGGCCTTGTGGCTCAGGAGCATATTGGGATCCTCTCGCAGGATACATTGGAGTACAAGGTCCTACTACTTGCATGTATGCAGCTTGGAGCTGTGCCTGTTCTGCTTAGCTGGAGGCAACCCCTGGCCATACAAGAAGCCATGTTGTCTGCGGCTAAGTGTACAAAGCTCTTGGCCTCTTGCCATTACGAGGCAGCAGCCAAACAGCTGATCAAGCAGGCCGATGTCCAGCTTCTCCAGATGAAAAACTTCTCCAGATGAAAAACATGACTTTCGAGGAGGGTCAGGGTCAGAGTGAGGAGCCCAGCGAGGAGACCGACGGATACGAGAGCCCTGTCGCAGTGATCCTCTTCACCTCAGGTAGTACGTCCACGCCTAAGGCCGTCCCCCACCGCCACAGCAGCCTGCTGTGGAACTGCCGGAACATCTCACGCGAGAAGTCCGAGGCTGTGCAGTTTCCAAATGCTGGGACGGTTTGTTTCCTGCCCAACTTCCATGCCATCGCCTTGACAGTGAACTTCATCTTCAACCTCTACGCGGGGATCCGCTGTGCAGTTTTGGAAGTGCCGGAATCGAATCCGGTGACTGTGGACTTGCTGATGGGAGCTTGTAAAGATCTTGGGCCTACAGTCCTGAGCACGGTCCCCTGGGTGATCGAAGCGATCTGCAAAGAGCTGGAAGGAGGTGAAAAGGCAGCTTCCTATTCGGCGGTTTGTGGGCGTTTGCATCACATTGCCTTTGCAGGTGCGCAGTTACCGAGACATTGCTCCGAGGTTTGCAGCATGCATGGGATCAGACTACAGGTGGACTACGGGCAAACAGAGTTGGGTGGGCCTCTTCTCTTCGGCCGCTTAGGTGCGGAAAGGGCAGACTTGCTACAGCCAGTGCCTGGTGCGACCTACTCCTTTCGTTCCTTGCTCAACTCCTCGGAGGAGCCACGCCGTGGCGAGCTGGTGCTTCACGGTGCAGAATCCGCGGCACAGGCATACCTAAGAGGCAGCCAGGGCCGCCCACTGACGGGTCCGGGGCAGCTGACAGCGGAGGAGTACTGGACAGGGGACATCTTTGAAGAAATTGAGCGCCTTGGCTCCACCTACTGTTCCGGTTAGCTGTCTATGGAACTTTCTCAAAGCTGGACTTCTTGGGAGGAATCTCAAAACAAAAAAAGCCAATCCAGTGACGACACAATCGGATGCAGGACAGCGTGACAACAGGAAGCCAAGAGAAGCAGGAGCCCAACAACTTCAAAAAACACAGCAAGAGAACTACGACGGGCAGAACATAAAGAGGAAACGTGGAACGAGTCAAGACACAACGAAAAAATGAAGCTAACGGATCCAACCTGTGTACAGACAACCTCATGCAGTGTAATCATTCCGAAAAAAGACTCGTCCATGAACACAAATCAATGAAGACATGAAGTCAAAAATCATGGATGTGATAATGTTGGTTGTTGCTTGGAAAAGATGGGGGTGGGTGGTCGGAAGGTGTATAAAGGTGGGTGAGGAGGGGGAGGGGCTGCGCAGGCCCATCCTCCCTCCTGGCCCGCTGACAAGAGAACTGCGACAAGCATTCGCAATTTCCTCGGCTCCTCTTTTTGTCCTCGCGCTCAAAGGTGGGACGGCTCCACGTGGCTTCGTCATGTGTCTCGCAGCGATGATCTCCTTGTCCATACGAGTGGAGAGATGACGAACCCGCTCCCCATGGAGAAGGCACGAACCTTAAGCCCGCAGCGAAGGCGAAGGTCTAGATTCGATTTTACTGAATCCCCAAGCTGCAGAGTTCGGAATTCAGTAGCCTCCCGACACCGACTCTGAGAAGGTGCTGGGAGTCCGCTTGGGGCTTCGGGCCTGCGTGGTGGGCGACCGTTTTCCACGGCCGCTCCTGGTCCTTGGAATCGACGCGGAGCGAGCCAAGGCTGGCCCGAAAGAAGGTCTGAGATGGCTACAGCATGCGGGCCTGCGTCTATTCCTACAAGTCCCAGTCATGCCAGTTACATGCGCTCAACCATCAAAAAGATTGAACACTACTTGTTTGGCGGGGTCGAGGCTCGGGGAAGCTGGCACAGGCACCTTCTTAAGTTGGGGATCTTCCCAAAGCATCCCAAAGCCCCAAAATCCCGAAACTCAACGCTCAGTGCAGAAAATCGCAAAGATGGGCAGATCTCTCAGTCGCCACAGGAGAAGAGCGCTTCCGAGCTTTGGAGCACCATCGAGGAGACGAAAAAAGTTGAGAACTCGGAAGTGAGGAATGGTAGAACAACTATAGAAGCCTCCTTCACCTATGTAACCTCGACACGCTTTTCAGTAATCAAGAGCTGATGGTGCTCCCGCCAACCCTCATGGGACAGTTGGCATGGCGAATGCACGATCTATCGCATGTACATGCTCTTCGTTCATGCTTCATGCCAAGGTCTCTGTTTGCATGCCCATCTGCCTCCACAAAGCCCGCCGTGTAGGCTTCCTTACCGATGCGCAGCCCTACAAAGGTCCTCTCCCAGCCTCCACAGGCCTATAATGAGGTTCCCTAATATTAGGCCCAGATATCCTTAGAGTAGAGTCTACTTTTGGGTCTACCCGCCCTCAGGTCCCAGCTGCCGACAAACCCACTCGACCCCCCGATCCCCCCGAACGTTGCAGGAGTGCAACGCCTTGCAGCCGGAATGGTCCCGAGTCTTGCCGCAGCACCCGCGGGAGCACTGGAACATCTTGTGTTGTCTTGTGCTTTGTTGTGCAGTCTTTTGTCTTGTCGTGCATTGTCTTGCCTTGTCTTGTGCTTTCTGTCATGTTTGTGGTGTTCTCTTCTTATTTTGCGTTTCTTGTATTTTTGTGGTTATCTCCTTTTCTTTTATGTTTGGCTGCTCTGCTTTTCCTTTTTTCTTTTCAATTTGATTAAATGTTTTCTGGTATGGTCCAATGGTTTGTTCTTTTATGTCCTTTCCGCTTCTGTTCGTCTGTTATGCTTCAGTTTCATTCCAGTTCTTCTTTCATATTTTTGGTGTGTCTTTTTGTACATTTTGGTTTCGTGTCTGTTCTTGTCGTTTGTTTCCGTTTGGACTCGTCACTTTCGTTCCTTTGCTTGTCACGACTGCTTCTAGTTCTTGCTCTTATTTTTGCTGATCGTTTTCGTTTTTTTGTATTTTTCCGTTTTTCTTCTTGTTGTTTTTATTGTTCCGTGTCTTTTCCGCTCTCTTCCTTGTTTTTGAGGGGTGCAACAGAGCATCGTAATTTTACTCGCGTCCAAGCACAGCTAAGGCACGTGGTCTTGAGCCAGGCCCAGCTGTGGGGTTTGGGCTGAATGATTTTAATTATAGGAATACTAAAAATAATGATAATAAGAAATAAGAATGCGAATCTGATTACACAATAACAAAATGGTACTAGTAATGCTAGTAATTATTTGAAGTTTCAATTGTTGGGAGGAGATGAAGGCTTGTTCGGGGTCTATGTTGGCACAATTCTACGTCGAACGTTGTGGTCATGACTGTTCCAGTTAATATAAGTTGCGCACTAGGCGTGTCTAGTTTTGCTAGCTGCGTTCAACCGACCGCTAAATCCAGCTCTAGACGCCTGCTTCACAGGACATGCCCGTGAGCGTCAAAGGCGAGATCCAGCGGCAGTCGTTGCAGAAACGCATGGAGCCCACGTCCTTCAATGATCATAAGAATAGCAATGACAGTAGCAATTGTAGCAGTGAGAGTAATGTACTAAAGCTCATTACCATGTAACATTGGATGGTAGCTCTCAGCCCTAAGCCCCTAAACCCTAAACCGTGATGACAAGAAGGAGCCCACGCTCTCCTGGCTGATGTTGGGTGGGCCTTCCCCGGATGCAGATGCGGCAGCAGCAGCAACCTGGCTAATGGACAACCTGGGGAGCAAGGAGCCGTCCTTTGATTCGCTTGCCATGGCCAGGGATCAGAGACCTCCAGCAGAACTTGGCCACTTCTATTTTGTCATGATGATTGGTGTGTTCCTTGGTCACCATTGCTTCCTTGTCCGAAGAATTCTGGATGACAAGGCTGCCGGGAATTATCAGGCTCTGAACAATTTGTGGGGCACCATGTCCATGCAAGGATTTGCGATGTATGCAGGGTACGTGGACGAGAGAGAATCTCCAACCTTCCGCTCGCTCTGGCAGCTGCTTATCGCATGGGTTTTTGGACGTCTCTTGAAATTAGCGAAACCCGGAGTCGATGGCAGCTGTGATTATCCTTGGTTCTTCATGTTCATGTTCTGGGCACGGCTTCTTCACATTGTCACGCGGTTTCTGCCTACGCGCCGAGCTGCATGGGCAGTACGGCTTGTGCTTGCATCTGCCTTACACTTTGGAACAGGCTTCACCGCTGCCAAGAATTTTCTAGACATTGAGGGAGGTGATCCACAGCCGCTGGCAGTGGCTCTTGTGCCTTATACTCGACAGGCCGGTTCGCACCTGTTTCTGTGGTACTTTGGCTTCGGGGCGCTGCTTGGGTGGATCAAACCCGTCTTAGTGAAGACAGCCAGTTGCAAGTGCGGTGCAGCGTTGCTGCTGAGTGTCGTGATGAAATACTTCAGCATCATAAACTATGAGTACGAGAGTGATCCTTCATCTGGCGCAGGCTACAGTGGAGTCGCAGCGGATGTGGGTCATGACATGTTCGTGGACATCGCCCATTGTTTCCTGTCCTTCCTGGCGCTTCTTTGTGTTCTCATCCTTGTGCCGCGCCAGAAGACGGCCTTTAGTGATGCAGGCGGCAACTCAGCCAGCGCATACCTGCAAGGCCAGAGATCTTTGGCCACGATGTTCTTTGCCAACACATACCTTCTTGTAGATCAGTTGGCCGGAGCACAATCAGGGACAAGGTTTCTTTGTGCCGTGATGACAACATGCTGTATATGCTTTGTCGTCAGTTTGGGGATGGAGCCGTGCCTGCCCTCCTGGCTGCACGGTATCCCTGCAACTTTCATCTATGTGACAGTGCTCTTAGGACAAGCATACCTCAGCAGCATCCTCGCTTACTAGGTCCGGCTGCAACGGTCAAAAGCCAGGCCAGGCCAGGCCCACCTCGTCATGGCGGTGTGCCACTTGCCTCTGCGGCTGTAGCGCAGGCTGCGGAGAAGACGAAGAATTCAGGCTTTGTGCGGGCCTTGCAGTTTCCGGCCGTCAGCTCCGTAAGAGAGTGGCAGGCCGACTCTGCTTTTCGGCCGGTGGCTATGCCTTGCAAATGTCTTCCAATCCCGTTTCGTAGTGTTTCCCCTTGGCGCTTTGGAGTTGATGCTTCGTTCTTCGGAGCACGAAACCAGCCGCTAGTGTAAAGTGTAAAGCCGTTCGAGTAGCGAAATCTCCGGCAGGCTGAAAGTGCTTGGTGGGGCTCGAGACCAGGGTTCAAGAAGGACTTGCGCTTCATGCTTCTTTTGATGGAGAGCATCAATGCCGAAGAAAAGCAACACTTCACAGTTTCTTGTTTCAAGCGTTTCCAACTATACCGCAATGCTTTCATCTACTCATCTACAGACCATCTCCCTCAAGCAAAATGCAGGAGGTTTCCCAACATAGCGCTCTTTGGTTGCAGCCTCTTCTTGGATTCTCCAGTGCCTGCTATCTACCATGCGTAGGAACGGCCTTGAGTCATGTCTCCGTAGTTAAGCACATTTTAGCATGCGCTGTGAAGGTCGGCTTTGGTATTGAAATTTCATGGGCATTTGTATGGCAGTCATGTCCCTAAGCACAGTGTAGAGCCCCTGCAATTCGCAGGCAGCGTCTTGTCGTGCTGAGCCATCAAGCAAGCTAAAGTCGCTGCGCTATGCTCACGTGGCATTGCAACCTGCAGATCAGACGCCAGTTTAGGCGCAGCAAGAAGCGCACACATTATATATTATATTACAGTATGTTATAGTATATTGTTGTAGGTTATAATGCATAAAGATATACTATAGTGTGTGTATGTATATATATATATACATATGTATATTTATTTGCTTATTTATAGTATATTATATAGAAAACTATAGTATGTTGTAGTATACTACAACAACAGCAATGCTTCACTATTCTCTGGATGTCACGGTCACCGAGGCTCGAGGCGAAAGACACAGATGTGGCGGCCCAAGAAGGAATTTCTCTGAGAGCGGCGAGTCTGCACATGTGGGTTGATCCGGATCGGGCGCGCATGTCACATAGTGTTCCGGCACATCCCCAGCTCTTTCTGATCAAGAGACCGTACCGATAGAGATTCATTCGGCTGTTTACGTTGAGCTTGCGCAGCTGGGTTCGACGGCCTAGGCACTGTGATGTACGAAGCAGTCAGGGCATTCTGTGCGTACTATCCTATGACTGACGGCTTCAGGAACAAGATCGTTACTCGAGCTTTCTACATCGCACGGACACGATAAAAGCCTTCACCCAGCTGCCGAAGCTCGCGTTGCATGCTTAGGACATCCGAAGAGCTATGGCAGACACATGCGACTATGCCTCTTTTCTCCAGACTGACGTCCGGAAGACTCAAGTCGAAGTCGAGACGAAGCTTCTGGATGGGTTTCCTCTCAAGTCCCAGCTTGGCGAATGGTTGACCAAGTATGGAGTCAGCAGTGTATATGTTGGCCTGATCCTGATCGTCATTTGCCTTTGGCTGTTTGGCTTGCCTGCGAAGGCCCCGCAGCATGCAAGCGTGCAGAAAAGCTATCCGAGGGGTTGTGTGATATTCCTCGGGATTGTGTACACCCTCACTTTCTTCACGATCGATCAATATGTGCCCAGCTTCCCACAGATGGAAAAGGATTTGTCTGGAAGCCAAAGCCTGATGAGCCTCACGGTGCAGCTAAATTTCATCGTCAAGGCGGCCTTTGGGCTTCTGACCGCTGGCCTCTCTGATCGGATCGGCCGCCGACCTGTCCTGATCACGAGTATGATCGTTCTTTGTTTCGGAAGCTTGGGCTGCGCATGCTCCCAACGGATTGAGTGGTTCATTGCCGCAAGGGTTCTCCAGGGAATAGGGGAGTCCGTGGAACCAGTGCTCTTCGCAGTCGTCCGTGACCATATCGCAGACCCCGACGAGCGCTACTCAGTAATTTCAGTGCTGCATACGATGTCCATTCTCGGTATGTTGGTAGCACCCACTGTTGGGGCATGGCTTGCAGGTCTTTTCAACTGGCGCATCTCTTTTATGGGGCTGGCCGGGATTTGGGCCTTCATGGGAGTCTATGCCTCGGCGGCAATCGTGGAAAGCTGCCCAGATGAGGCCGTCGAAGAGCGGCATTACTTCCAAGATTTATCGCGCATTCTCAATTGGCGCTCGATAAGCTTGCTACTAACAATGAGCTCCCTCACAGCAGCGATCTTGACCTTCGAATCGAACACAAGCTATGTCACACAGGAAAACTTCGGGATCTCGATGACGGCTTCGGCCCTGGTGATGTTTGCATACGGAGGTTTTCTCATTCTGGGTCTCTTGGTGAAGCAGTCTTGTTGCGCTGGCGCCTCAGTTCTGGAGACCTGCAGCACATCCTTGACGCTTTTGGCCTGCGCCGGCATCGTTTCGGTACTGCTGGGATTCTTCTACTCCCAGTTCCTCTGGGCTTACTTGGCAGGATCTTTCCTGCAGTCCAGTGTGATCAACGTGGCTGTGATCGCATTGAATGTTCTCTTCATGGAGCCTCTCGCAGACTGTGCCGGTGTGGCTGCTTCATGTCAGACTTTCTTCCAGGGTGTGCTCCCCAGCCTTCTTTCGATGGTCTCGACCCAACTATTGGTTCATGGAGGCTTGAAGCTGTTCATTGGTTTCCAGGCGAGCACATGCCTCGCAGCGGGGATCTTCTTCTGGTTGGGCCTTCTTCTGACGACGCAGAGTACGTCGAAGTCGTGTGAGTCCTCGGAGTAGACCTTGCTAACTTGCATCCTTCTTGCTGGCTTTCAGCTTGCAAAATCTAGCAAATCTTCCCGTGCAGTTCTCACAAACTGGTATCGCCTCGGCTCAGGCTTGGTCTGGAGAAAAGAGCCCCATGAACAAGCTGATCCAGCTACATGACGAACCCCCTCCCTTCTAGGCGCCGGACTACCACAGACTCCAAGGATCTCTAGAGCCTACATTGTTACAAAGACCCCATGAAGAGCGGACTGCAGGCGTAGAGTCCAAGCCGCTCAAAGCTGACCGTCAGAGTAGTGCTCGTAGGTTCCACGGGACATGCGCAAGGACTGTGCTTGTTGAGGTGGCCCAAGCAGGATTCCGTGCCGTTCTGCATACCAGTCTGCATCATTCGAGCCGAGTCGCCTCCAGCAGCATGAAAATGAAGCTGGCTTGGCACCTGGTTATAGGCCTTCTCACGGCTGCCCTTTTCGGGGCTGTCTGCTCTCCAGAAAGACGCTTGACTCTATGTCTCCACGTGTACGTTCCGTGTGCGAACTACATGCCCTGGGCCAAAGAGGCCTGGATGCATATGCTAGAGAGCTACTTCCATTTCGAGAGATGGTTAAGCCCCTCCCAGTTTGAGGAGACTTACGAACTCCCCGAGATCAAGGCTGAAGAGTACACGCCAGAGAAGCTGCGGCACTTGTCACAAGACGGGAGGCTTCCAGTCGTTATCCGAGGTCTTGTCCGTGAGGCCTCTGCCTGCCATGAGGCTGGAAAACCCGAGTGGGTCAGGCGCTATGGTAACTTCACAGTCATGTCGATGACCTTGGGGAAGGGCCTGCATTACAATGACAGTGAGGTTAAGGTCACTGGGGACACCAACTTCTCGGAGTATGTGGCGGGCATCCAACGAGGCGAAACGGGAAGATATGATGCTGGGATGGACACAATGCTCAGCCAGTACCCCGAGATCTATCCATCCCTGGGCCTCGATGCGCTTCAGTTCGATGCGCTTCAGATCGCCGGCTGTCGATCTCTTTCTTTGCTGGTCAACGGCCAGGGCGAGGGCCTTAAGTGGCACATGGCAAACCACCCAAACTTGGTGAGCGTCTATCACGGGACGAAAGTCTGGGAATTGATCAACTACCGTTTCTCGATCTTCTTGGGGCCGACAATCCCGGCAGGCATCGGATCGTGGGGCTATCTGCCGGCCAACCATGAGACAATCGATCGCATCTACCCCTTCCTTCCCAAAGCTTTGGTAAAACTGAAAGCTGGTGATTCGCTGTTTAACCCGCCATGGTCCTGGCATCGGGTTAGCAACGAGGGGGATGCCACAACGAAGCTCGTCGTCATGTCCGCCTGCCGCTGGTCTGATGTTCGAACCACGATTCGCTTGTCCTCAGCGCTGGAGCTCTACAAGAGCTTGGGATGGCCAGCCTGGGTTCATCCAAGCATGCCCCTCTGGGTTCGCTGGGTCCCTCTCTTCCGCATTCTTCAAGACGGCCTACGAGAAATCATGGGCTCGATTCCGTCTTTTGGTGAGACTGGCTATGACACCGACTGCTTCAGTAGCAAGCGTGAGGCATGTGCTGAAGTCATAAGATCCCATGGCTTCAAACACTGAGAGCTGTGCCAGTTGTTCTGGTAGCGGCCTTTGAAAATGGAGCCGCCACCCTCTTGTCAGGAGTTTGCAATTCATATTGCGGGTGTACATCTTCGGCAAAATCGGGCATTCGGCCCAGGACTCGCGCTGCGGCGGTGCACAAGCCTCCACACCACAGCTGCATGAACTATAAAAAAGATTGCAAGCTAGCCAGCGCTCGCACTTTCTCTCTCTCCTTCTCTCCCTCTCGCTCTATAAAGCATGTATGCATCCACCGTCACCGTTGCACATCGAGGCCGAGTACGCCAAGGTGGCTTTGGAGTGGTGGACTTGTACTCGCTTGCCTTGTCCTAAGATTGCTTACACAGGTCTTGAAAGAGCGAGGCTGGAGTCATTTCGGCAAATGCAGCACGTCTGTACTTGACGCCGAAACCCGAGGCTGCTGCGACATGGTGCCGTCAAATGCTGTCAGCTTCTGAGCGGCTGCACTTCTTGGCGGGCTCTGACACGACGGGTTCGGCCATTCTCCCAGAGTAGCGCATCGACTACGAAGTAGAGAAGGTGCGGATGAGATCCAAGTGCACATTCATTGTAGTGGCTGTCTTCACTTTAGATTTTTGATTCGCAGATTCGTATCCTGACAAGGTCACTTGTTTCTGCAGGCCACTGCAAGGTTTCAGACAAGGTGTACAAGCTGTAAAGGGCGAATTTGAGATTCTCTCGATTAGAGAAAGATATCTTTCAAGAACATTTCTTATTGTCAATAAGCCGCGCTTCTTCTGGGTAAGGAGACTTCTACCAAAGACAAATCGAGACATCCAAAATGATATCATTATGAGAAAGAAGACTTCGAATATACTTTTTATAATGGATTCAATTCGGATAATATATGAGTATTCCTACAGAAAAGATATATAAAATCTTATTTGTGAAATAAGATAGATATTATAGGCAGAAATCTTTTTATATTATCAAGAATTAAAAAATTATATATATATATATATTCAAAAATTGAAATAACTCAAAGAAATTCAATAGAAAAATATATAATAATATATATATATATTCTCAAATTTTTTACGATATTTCGGATTTCATAAATATGACAATGCATAAAGGCGATATACGATTATATTTAAAAATTATAATTGTTTAAATAATAGCAATATGAAAAGAAAAAATTAGATATTATCTAAATACTAATAATATAAGAAAGAAAAATTAAATATTATATAGAATAATTGATTTAAAGATATTAAGATTTATTTCTTATGAACAAAAATTTGATTTGGGAAATTAACTTTTGAATTAAATTAAATGCAAAGTATTGATATATTTATTAATAATGAGTCGTTTAATATTATTTGAAGGT